TGTGGTAGCGGTAGGCTATGTGGTGGTAGTGGTGGGCTATGTAGAGGTAGTGGTGGGCATGGTTGTGGTAGAGGTAGTGGTGGGCATGGTTAGTGGTAGGCTATGTAGTGTTGGACGTGTTAGCGGTAGGCTATGTGGTGGAAATGGTGGGTTATGTAATGGTAGTGGTGTTCTATGTGGTGGTAGTGGTGGGCTATGTAGTAGTAATGGTGGGTTATGTAGTGGTGGGAATGGGTAGTGTTGAACCACATAGTGGTAGTGAGGGAGACTACCCGGTACTACATTTTAACAATCTGATAGGGGAAAAAAACTTCCTGGCTATACACAGCATACAAACACTAAGAGCCATGTACCATGCATTACAAGACATCACCATGTGTGCATGTTAGAAGTACTCACATGTACATCAGGAATATCACTCCCCTTTCTTCTTTGTCTCCATGGTAACTCTGTACTTTCACCATGACCTACATGGGGATACAAACAAGATGAAATGCTGAATTTAGATCCCAAACACTAAATATTAAACTACATTCCATGGTACATCTCTATTAAATACAGTTATGGTATTTTATCACAAACTATGCTCTGTCGTACACATTCAGCTATGGTTTTTAATTAAGGTAGAGATGCAGGTTTGTGGGCACTTGGGAGTGAAATTTTTTTTTTGCTTTTTATTTTTCAAACAGTCTTGGCTATAGACTGTTAAAATTTTGTAGAATTGTGAATAATGGAACATACTCAAAAGACGATTTTAAAATATAGATAACAGGTGCAAACATTCTCTCTTTTGAATGCTTAGCACGATTTAGCAAGGCTGTACATAAATAATAAAAAAGAAACATGGTGAAAAAAAGAAATGACGGGATCTCCATATTATGCACTATATTTAACTTTTAACAAAACGATAATACATTTAAATTTGGAACTGTTACAGCCATTTTAATTATGAGCATTAGCAAACTTCTTACTGAGTGAATTGTTATGCAAATTAGCAATTATCTCAGCTTCTTTTTAGTGCACATCCCAGAAATTTAAAAAAAAATAGCTC